CCCCAAAACCCCAAAACCCCAAAACCCCAAAACCCCGTCAATGCTGTCAGTAGGGAAAATCATAAAAATGAAGGAGTATTGGCAAATTTATTCATTTTTATCTTCCTCCTCATCATCGTCTTTAGGCTCAACATAACCCAATGGCTTGGGAAACTCAGTCCTTATTAATTTTTTGGGAATATTTCCTTCTGAGATCTCCACTAGGTCGGTTAGTTTTGCCCCATTCTCAAGGTTAATATTAAGGCAATCATTAAAGCAGACTCTTTGGTCAAAAGTATATAAGTATGGCTATGGTATGTATGGCATTGGAGGTCTTGCATCTCACTTCATGGTGCATGCCATTGCTGTCTGCTTAAGCTGCTGGCCAACCTTGAGATCTCTATATGCATCCCCGATTTCAGCTTTATCTAGGAGGAATTCTTCCTCAGAGATTTTCATAATTCCTGAAGACATTATATAATGCCAAGGTATTTCTGTCTTATTTTTCTAGTTGGAGGGCTTATTCAGTATCTATAAAATAAGATTTTATGCTACAATATGACGGGTTTTGATGAGCTATAAATTAGCAAAATTTCAAATGTGAACTTCTCTGCTGCAATACTGTATATTTTTAAAGCCCAAATAAATATTTACATGGAATGAAATTGGTCTGAAAGTTCAGTTGGTTTTATCCTTCAGGTTTTGTGTATTTCATATCCTCTTTTGATTTATATTTGGCAAGTCTGTTATTAGTGTAAATATCAATGCAGAAATTATAACAATTCCTTTGGTCAATTGCAAAAATGTTCGAGTTAAAATATGTCTTAGAGGAATATACTACAATTTTCCTTTAAAGTATTTTTAAGGAATTTTTAAGACATACTCGACCAAAATTGGCTGTCTTTGGCCAGGATTTGTAGATATTTATCCAAGAGCTAGCATCGGCTTTTGGAGATTCCCTAATGAAAGGGGGATATTTAGAATGAGTGATTTTAAAACTAGAATTTTTGATACACCAACACTAATTTTGTGAACAGGCCAAGATTTGAATTTTCTCAGTCCATTATTGTTATCTCTATTCCTGATACCTGAATAAGCAGATAATTTTTGAGAAAATCTGCAAGTTTAAAATTTCCAGTAAAAGTATTTGTTAAATAAAATTATATAGCATCATTTTCTTCTTGGAAATCATTTTCTAAACTTTCTGCTGGCACATGGTCACTGCTGGTATCTGGAACCGGCATCTCGTTGGTATCTATTGAGTGAAACTCTCGTGTGGGGTTCACCTCTGCAGGAGGTTCTTCGAAACTATTGTCTAAATTCTTCACTTCTTCTGGGAAGACTAAGTAATTCTCATTGCAATCTTCATTCTTAAATATTTTTATAACGTTGTCACCATCAGAGCTTGAAGAAACACTCTTTATTGGCTGCTTGGGCTGAGGAGCAACATCTTCCTCTTCCTCAGAGGAGGAAAGGACTTGAACTTTTGTCAAGTCAAGGACAGGGATTTTATTCTTATGCTTTATGTGGCTATATTAGTGAATATTTTAGCATACCTAATTTCCAAGCTACTATCCTTTAATGGAATCGGCTCATCATAACTTTCAAGTGTTTCTACCTTGCCATCTTGGAATTCCTCTAGGGAACTCTCTCTAGGGATTGATGCTTCTGCACAAACGAGTAAATCTTGGTATTTCTCTTGCAGAACTTCACATTCTTGAACAAGCTCCTCAGGCAAAGTGTATGATGTCTGAAGATCTTCGTATACCGCTTGATATCTGTCAATGATGGCTCTTCACTCATAAAATCGAGCATCTGGGATGGGTTCTTCCCTTATCTGCACTTGTCAACCCTTATCTGCTTTATCAATGAGAGAAGAAGCTTCTGCTTTCTCTCTGTTTTGTAGAGCTTGAAGGAGGGCTGAGTTTTGAATATCTAGTTCTTGTAAAGCATGATCTTGTTTATCTCATTTTTCCTGAAGATATGTAATCTCTTTTTGAAAATTTTCTTTCTCAGTGGTCATTCCATTAATTTGTTTCTTTAATGACTCGATTTCTTCAAGGAAAGACCCAGTGTAGTCACTCTGGATTTTACGAGTGATGACGATGACCTGCTCCTCGCTAGATTCTGAAGAAGAATTGCCACTTGAATCAGAACCTGAGCTAGATGAGGAGTGAATGACAATACTTTTCACAGACTTTTTGAGATTACCAGAGCTATCCTTTTTAGGATCCTGTAAGATATTGGCCCCTACCATATTGACCCCACCTGGGTACCTTGAGCTTCGAGTGTCTTCTCCACTAATCTCAGGATTGAACGGTAATTTCTGTTCTTCTGGAGCATTCTCAGGGTTAATATAAGTGTCAAGGATTGATAATTTTTGTGTCAGAGCTCCTTTCATCTCATCTTGTACTCTTTCGACTTCTTTCTGGAGTCTAAGATTCTCCTCGACTAGCTTGTTGATAGTGCTGATTAAGGCTTTTTGCTCATTTTTACTGGCTTCGCTAGAGTCTTGTATCTTCATTCAGCCAAGAATGTCCATAATAGATTTATTTATTAAGATCTAGGTTCACTCTAGTGTCAGCAAGCTCGAATGAAAGTTCTTCATTTTCCTTTTGCAAAATTTCTAGTTTGGTAAGTGAGGAAGTTGAGCCATAGTCTACAGAGTGATTGCCTCGTGTACGTTTTAATCTTTTCATTTCTATTAAATATTATTCAATAATTTACAATGTTTTAGGGGTTTTGGGGTTTTGGGGTTTTGGGGTTTTGGGGTTTTGGGG